CTTATAAAACTTTCTTTTAACTACAGAAGTTAAATATTACAGGATGAGCAGTAGACTGTTATAAATAGCGACTAGGAAGAGATTGTTAGGAGACAGCTTCTGTGTAATGGACAGGTAGGATTTGTAAGGAGATATGATATTTGTTTGAGAGACTGAAAGAATCACAACTACAGGAGTCCGTTCAATGATACATATTAAAACGTTCGTATCACCAAGAACGATGATGATTTCAGACTGTGTCAGACGTGCAACTGCACTTGGCCACTGCATATGGACCGGCTCCATGGGTCCTGTTCTGTTGTCTCTCTCGGAGATAACCAAGACGAAGTACTTGAGAATAAACAACTTTAAACGTCTGAAGTACCTTGTACTTTTTTTAGAAACAGCGTTTCTACCACTTAAAAAGCTCTTTAGGAAAAATGAATTTGAAGTTGGTTTTGCGAGTTCATCAAATTCTTAGACAGATTATGTAAGGCATCCTCTTTAGTAGCCTAAGTATAGAATATAGGGTATTCGGATCCTTTAAGCTGAGTGGCTTAGTCTTTACGGTATGAAATGTCTGATTACTTTCGCTGAAGAACTTCGGCTTCGTGGAAGTTAAAACTAGTCTGTGCGCTGGGAATGCAGTGGATTTTTAACTCTGGAGAAAGCCAAAGTAATAAATTTGAAAATGCGTTTGTCAAGTTGAACCGGAGTGAAAACATAGTTTTCCAAAGAGTTTTTACAGATGTTTCTAATATATTTAACTAAAGTGATTTTCGTTGTACAGGTTGCTAATCATGCAAGGTACGTGTCTAGGCGTCAAGAAATTCAGAGCAAAATTTTATTGATTTGTTTTTATTTAAGAGTAACATTCCGGCATTTGACAGTAAAGACTGTGGTAAACCGTGAAACCTCTGTCAGTATAGCCGTCATCTGGGCAGACTGTTGAAGGCAGGACCTTCCAAATAGCATGAAGAAAATCTAATCCCTATGTCGCAAAGTTAGATTCGGTTTATTGACTTTTTATTGAACACTAACACAACATAGGTTACAGGTTTCGATTCATGTCTGTCTTAAGTACGTGACAGACAAGTTAAAGTGTCAGGAAGAAGTAGAAATGCCAGTGACGTGAATCAGTTTCTGGCAATGTCAGTTTGATCCTCAACCTGAGTGTACATTCGAGCAGGAAATACATTCATTATCTTGTCTGAAGACCTCTTGAGAGTGTAAGAAGCAGAAGCCAGGACCCCCTGCTCCGTTTGTTGCGCGGGCAGAGAGGTCTGTAAAGTGTTGGACGCTTATTTTGAGGCCGCTCGAGCGATGTGGTCTCTGTGAGAGTAACGTTTCTTTTATCAGTGCCAAGGATTGGCAAATGTAGATCAAGTTTCTTTATCCACAAACAGGATGGATTACGTTAAACTGTGCAGACCTATATAAATTCGTCTTACTGATATTTCTGTTTTACTGACGGCTGGGAGACCTGAATGACAGAAAAACCAAGGCCATGAGAATAGTTTGTACTATGAAAAGGTACTCTCATAATTTCTTATTTAGTTATTTTTGTTATTATAGGTTCAGAAAGAGTATTGATGGAAAACAAATTAATTAAACCTAGGCTGTGTTTAATTAGTCCATTTTATGAGTTCCTCCAGGCAAATGCCAGGACAGTACCTTCAATTAAACCACGATCGCTTCCTTCCACCCCCTTCCAATTTATTATTTATTGATTATCTCATCACTCGGCTCTGTATAATCAGAGCTACTTACAGTTTAATAAGCCGTGCATATAATTTCGTCCTGCAGAATGGTGACATGATATGAATGTTGTCTCCGCTTATGCTCCTCGACTAACTTTCCTAGAATGTAATAGAGTTCCTGTCCTCTTTATACTTATATTATCAGCTAATAAGTGATCACCATTCACATAGACCAGATGTTGATGTGCCCCATTCAATTTTACAATTCTCTTTCGTTTCTTGGACCATCCTAATGGAGTCTTTCTAAATTAAACCTGGAAAAGAATGGCGATAAAACATCTCCTAATGAAGATCCTTTCTTCTGGTTGTTGTTCCGCGTAATGTAATAGAAGTTTGCCGACGTTTCAGAGGTATTTGCTGTCTCCATCATCAGGGGGATGCAAAATGACTGTGCTCAGGTACAAATGGCTTAGCTGTATGTATTTCAGTCTGTCTAATATCGATAAAACCAAGCACATTCTATAGCTGACGAAGGAAATACTTTTACCAATACAAATTATTGTAGGAATCTGCAAGCTGATTACCATTCTTATCCTTTTCCAAGTTTGTTCAAGGTTGGTAACACTTCATAAAAGAATTTGTGTATCTTTATCTTTATAATAAATGTTTAATAAGTAATAATAATAATAATTTATGTGAGGTATAGGCGTATTTAAACATTTGTAAGTTCAGATTTCTTTCGCTGCTCTTGTTAACTGATGACCTCTTCCAAATATAGCAGTTAGCAAACCATCGTCCAACCGCTGACTATGAAAAATAGACTATCTCTGGTATAGACCCTACTTTGATATTTTAAGTTCTGAATTTAGTTATAGACTGGTTTCATGCTGGTCTTATAATGGACGTTACGACTTAATCTAAGAATGAAAACCGTGCTACAGTTCATTGATCATTTTATTGTTCATTTATAGTGCTTAAAATTGTGATAAACATAACAGCACGAAAAACATCTTATAAACACAACTTCAGCTGTAGATCTAACATGCTCCGTGGAGAGAGGTCTATTCAAAGAAACATTTACACTAAACTGTCATTCCAACAAAATTCATGAAACGGGGCAGAGAACACTGTTCTAAACTAGAGACGGTTTTCGGTTTGTGACGTACAGCCACAAAAACAAATTCGCCCATCACTTTATTCACCAGCGCTCTTCAGTTAAACTGATGCTATTGCAGGATAAGTTTTTACACTTAGAATCTAACGAGACTTCCGATAAAAATTCTGGATTAATACTAATTAATTACTGATGTCAATAATCTAGCAAGCATTTAGGCCTAAATTAGCAATTTGCAGAAAATTTTAAGAAATGAGTTTTTAAGTACAGTGCAGGTTCTGTGTTGTATTTTAGACTTGTTAGTTATAGGCTACAATTTCTGAGTCTCTTGATACTGTATTTATAGCACTTTGTACTGGAATGTTAACTCTTGAAAAGGCCTGACTATCTTAATGACTGCACTTTGTACTGGAATGTTAACTCTTGAGAAGGCCTGACCTACACTATCTTAATGACTACGACACTACGAAATACATGCAAGGTGTGTGTGTGAGAGATAACTTCTGAAACACAGAAGGTAGTCTATGAGCAGTTATGTCTAAATCGAGTACAACAGAAACATATCATACTTTTATTTAAATGTTGTTGCATTTTAGGATATTACTCAAGGGAACATGGTGTACACCTTTCCATTCTTGTTTGGACCAAAAATGAGTTTGAGATGCGTGGGTGGTCTTCATGTAATAGGACGCGGAGGATAACAAGTAGCGAGTGTCAGGAGACTGTTTATGTTTACGTCTTTACAGCAATGAACTAAAAACTCGAGCTGTAGTGTGCACTTCCCACTGAGTACAAACATCTGGCGCCCAACACGATGGTCCCACACAAAGTGAGTCAACTCACACTATTGTACAATACTGAGGGCAAACCATCGATACAAGTGTAACCAACCTTAATATTAAGCGTATGAAAATATAATAGAGATCCATTAACATAAATACTTTTTTCTGTGTCTTAATACAGGCAGACGGTTTCTCAAGCTCGTTTCCGTGATTCTGGTGGATGATTTTAAATGTTCTGAATTACATATACAATTTTGGTTAATTTCATACGCTCATGTCTCCACATGATACCAAGAACTGGCAGGCAGTAGCATCGTATGTTATTTCTACATAGTTTGTCCGACAACAGCCGCATTTATTGTCGTTGTTTCCAAGTTCAGAGAAAAATGCATTCTAAATCCATGTACAGTGACTACTTTATAGTTACCGATCTCATAAAAAAATTCCGTACTGATATGGAACCTGAAAATCCACAATCTTAATTTCGAAGAGTAATGAATGGCCTGTCTTAAACCAGTGAAAGAGATTATAATTCCATAGCCTCTGTCTCTGAAACATGTGTTAACACTGTCTTTTCATTAAGAGTTATGCCCCATAAGTTATTTTATCAATTGATATTCCACCGTCTTCCGATTCGTACTACCTTCCTTGCCCCGTCCCATCTCTGTAAGTAGATTTAATCTCACTTGTGTGTGAAATAAAATTTGTAAACTCCACTTGATGTAAGTTTATCTGCTTCCCTGTTATTTTATCTTCTATGGGCCCAAATGTTATTAGGGCCCATATCCTTTAAACATTTTAAGGATCGATTCCTTCTTCTCATTTTGTTTTTAACCAAAGCAAAGTTTTGGCAGATTTTGTTCTTTTAAAAACATCGAAATGTGTGGGGGGTGGGCGAGACGCCATGTATTTAACCATAAGCAACGCAATACGGCATTACAATGCGGAAGAATACAATCTACACGTTCTCTGCGGTGAGAAGCTCAGATCTCGTATTTCCGTGTTATAATGAAATATATCGCTTTAGAACCAATCCTTCTTCGATATATGTTTTCATTCTATGGACACATCAGTGTAAAATTACTTTTCTTACTATATCTTTACATTGCTTCTGAGACTGGATGTATCTGCAGCGGTAGAGATGTCGATTGTGGAGTTCTACGTTGTGAGACAATGTAGTCTTGGATATGGTTACCAGGGAATAGAAGGAACGTATCGTCTCCAGAAGACCTAAAGCGGTATTTTGCCCCTTTACTCTAACCATTTTCAATGTTTCACAAAGTGACTTCATAAGTTGTCAGCAAACTGTAAATCTAAATAAAAAAAAATAAAAAAAGCGCTGTCTTGAGTGTCTCAAATTGGATAAGGTTAAGAAATTTCGAGGAATAGTGTACAAAAATGCTAGTTATAATTTACACATTGGACTGAAAGTGTTTATTTTCCTGTGCATTTGACACTTTATTGGTGCTATGTGCGTGCCACGATATTGGCATTGCAGTTAACAACAAATTGTTATCAGCTGTGACAGAACACACTAATAGATTATTCTCAATAACGTAATTTCGGAAACGTTCTTTGAGGCCTGTGAATCACAGCGTTGTATTTAACACACAGATTGAGACGAACTGACTGAAAAGCAATGTGTCGTTTTAGGAGTATAAATTTTGCAATTTATTTCCCATTCAAGTTCAATGCATTATTTGTACAAATGACATTTTAATCTGGACTTGAAAATCTTTATATATATGTTTGTACAAGAAGTAATTATTTTTGACGTTTCACGTTCTGACTTAAATTTTATTTATTATTAAATCCAATATACCGTGCACGACGCGGACTCCAGAACATAAAAACTGTCTTTACAAAATGTAACTGAACTGAACTGAACTGGTACAGACGTTAAAACATCGTCCTAACGGAATCAGTTTCATGTATCTATGTTTTGATGTCAGAATGTCCGTAAATTTATGAACAGTGCATTAAAATGACTCTATATTGAATCCACTAAAAATAAATCACACATCAGTATTTGTGTTACTTTCTGAAACTGGATACAAACCATACGGCATGTTACATTAGAGGAACTAGAATGTTGGAACTGTTACTGTAATACCGAATTAAAAGTGTGGATTTGACAATTGTTTTAATTTCAGTGTCAGCAATGTGTTTGTGGTGGGATTATAATTCTGATGAAAGCTCAAAAATCAACATAAATGTAAACGTTTCATAGGACTCAACATTTCCGAAATCACGGCATTCAGAATAGTCTATAAGTGAGATTTTATTTTACTTCCAAAGGCTCTTGGCAGCACTGTGGAAAATCGCGGATAGAAACAAGACGAACTTTCCAGTTGTGCATTCTCAGGGACAGACTATAGTCTGATTGACTAAAGGTGAGGTGTAGAATAATGAGTGCTTTATATATCAGTAGTGCCAATTGAAAAGACACAAGACTTCTAACAACAGTATAATTCAGTAGATCTAACAGCAAGAACTGGAATCATTAACAGCATTGAGTCTTTAATAAATTACACATTTTTTAACGGGATTGTATGTCGGTACTTGCAATGTCTGTAATGAGGTTCTGCGGATGTGTTACGTTCAAGGAAATTTACATCAAAAATAAAACCATTTCTTTGCATATTTTAACGCATAAATTTTACCGATTTCAGAGAAGTCATTTCGGCTTAATTTATTATAATAACATTGTGCACAGAGCACTTTCGAAATGTGTACCATTAAGAATTTTAAGGTCATCACTGTCGCGCGAATACACTTCATTTTAATTTTAAAGTATCCAGACAATGGTAAGTTACATTCTTGATTACTAAATTCTTGCACTTTGTCCATCGTCTGGTATTCATAAGAACACGACGTTTCGGAAACTGGATCTATTTCCGCAAGCAACTGTATGGTACCTACAAGTTTTCTACAACTTAACCACCCAAAGTTTAATGGCATAAGGTAAATTGTATTTTCTTCCAAAAACGTGTATTAATTTGATTAAATGATTTGTTCCATGTTTAATACTCGTATGATGGGTTATTTGCCAACTACATTAAAATGTTTTAACACTTTCGTACTCCTCACCACACTAGCGTAAAGTGGATGACAACTATTCCAAGTCCAAACAAACAAAATATCAAAGTACGAAGATGGCTGTCTTCTGGGTTGTCTGGATCATCAGGGCGATGCCTCATCACTCTGATGATAGAGGCATCAGGGACCTCTGAAACGTTGGTAAACCTCTTCCAGACTCGTACTCACAGCCGCAAAGCCTCAAATCCTACCAAAATAGAGTGATTCGACTTCTAAGTTTCTTTCAATACAACAGTTCTAGTTTCCGTCACTGCGGGGCACTAGTGCTGCCATTACTGTGTTGTGACGTTGGGGATGAAGTGAGTGGCGGCGGCGCTGCAGTCGGAGTCGGTGGGCAAAGTAAAGGGTAGTAATAGTAAGGGAAGGGGAGGGGTAGGGAGCCTGAATGGGGGTACAATATAGACGAGGGTGCACTAGACTTGGTGTTGGCAGCACTAAATCCTCCAGCTAACACTGGCTGGTCGTCACGCACCAAAACCTTGACAGCTACTCTTTTGGCCGAAGACGAATTCGATCCGCCAGATGTCAGTACTGATGCCGTCGTGTTCTGTTCCTGAAGCTGCAACTGTTTTCGCTTGGTTTTGTACCTCCGGTTTTGGAACCAGATTTTCACCTGTGTCTCTGTTAGTTTTAACGCGTGAGCCAGATCCGCGCGTTCTGGCCCGGACAAGTACCGCTGTTGGTTGAATCTCCTCTCCAGCTCGTACACCTGAGCGTGAGAGAACGCGGCTCTTGATCGCTTCTTGCGTTGCTGCTGCTGCTGCTGTTGTGGTTGGTGGTGGTGATTTGATGATAAGAAGCTCGGCTTGCCGATCTGCGGATGATGGCTCAAATGGAGATGGTGTGATCCAACGCTGGGTGGCGGTGATCTGGTGAATAAGACGCTTGGTGGCGAGGAAGAGTCTCCGGACAGAATCCCATTATCGGACATGGCGTCATCTGTTGGCAACAAGATGCGGAGAAACATTATTTACCATTATCGCTTTATAGATATAGATTTATAGAGAAATATTTTACCGACTGACTCCATGGAAATGCTTCAAAAGCTGAGTCTCTCAGCTGGTCAATAAATTTTCCAGTCTTTATAAAACCTGAAATTTCATTGCCCTGTTCACTAGAGTCTGCAATTCTGTCTCATGCCAAGCCACTTGAATCCAGCCCACAGCCTCATATCCTCTTTATTTAAGAACACATGTTTTATCTCCTCCCACGTAGCTCGTGTTCAGATATTCCAAGCAGCTTCTCCCTTTCAGGTGTTCCTACTAAAATTGTTATCTATTTGTAACCTCCCAGTGTATCGTCCTCTTAATTTTATCGCCATAATAGTAGGCTTGTTTTGTGAAGAGTGCAATTATGAAGATGTTGGTAGTGCAATTGTCTCTATCCACCTACCACTCCCTCTCTCTTTCGTTCAAATGTTCCCCTCAGGTTGTGTTCTCAGAGTCTTACATGATAATGAGAATGATTGCAAGCTCTCAGATGGTGTTTAAATTCCTGCAGTACGTAACAACACCACTTTGTTCAATATCAAATGAAAGCAATTATTATTAATTCTGTTAACGAAATACTGCGTCTGCTTAACACCGAAATTTGCATTCCACTAACGTTACACAAAACTTTTTCTTATAACTGTAATCATAACCGCCTTCCTAACTTTCAGGTACGTGCTACTAATTATAGTCCCCAGTCACATTTAAATTTGTTTATTTTTTCCCTGTGTTTATTAAATCTGCGTCAATCCTTGGGCCATGCTAACCCCTTTCTGCCATTTATTTTACAGCAGACTGTATCCTTCCTCACTCCACTCAAGTTTCATATCACAATAAAATATTAATTACCTCTTTTGTCTTACATTTTCAAACAAATTCTGCCGTTCTATATCATTTTATCTCTCTTTAGTGGCATTTGTTTCACTAATTGAGGTATCAAGGTTCAAGAGAAAGAACACAGAAGGCCACAGAAATTTAAATAACAATATATAGACAATAATCCAAGATGTTTACGTAATACTGTGGTTGGCAACATGTGATCCGTTAAACGAAATCAGTCCGACTCATAGTGATGTAACCATTGATGTTAATAATAATACTACGCTTTACCGAAGTGTGTATTTTATAGTTACAAGAAGCCTGTTAATTACTTACATGATGTTTTACATCAGTCTGTCTGTCCTTATATTATACTGAACGAATTTCAGTTAAATTCAATATCGAGAATTTACACTAAAATTTGACGTGAGAACAGAAATAACATTTTAATTGGAATTTATCAAATGTAACTCTCACTCTATATGAAAATCAAAATGAACTTTGTTGTATGGTGAATATCAAACAAAATATAGCAAAAAGTAGCCTAATTTGACTCTGTGCACATTTGCAATGATATTCGTCACTGTCAAAACACAAATTAATTTTTATCGAAAATATCCTTTATAGACTTCCTACTTTTTATTACGTTATCCTGTAGCTAACAGTAGTGAAGGAAGAGTTGCCTGTGTTTGGAACAATCTATTTATACTTGAAATCATACACTTGATAGGACCAGTGAATATAATATACAAAATCTTTAAATAAATAATCTATGCTTCTGTATAAAATGAACAATTTACATGTATATTTCGTCACTAATGTCTGTATAAAATGAACAATTTACATGTACATTTCGTCACTATTAAAACGTAAACTGATTTTAATAATTAACTACGTTTATAATATCCCTTTACTGATTCCATTAGGCCTATTTTTGTGCTATTAGCAAATCCCAACATGTCCGTGATATGAATTTATTTTTATCGTGGGTCTCATATGAAATCTAGGCCTTAGTTTGCTCACCCCTGTACTAGGATAATGCTACTCTGGCAACCTCTTATTTCTATTATACACAAATTCAACGAGTAGCCATTAAGAAATTGAAGGATACATTAAACAAATTCATGCGTGTTCCAATAATCGGTCCCCTAGTACTGCGTGGTACTGCGCTAAAAGCTTTCGTTTTAAGTAATATCCTCTAAAGCCTCCTTTGCCATTGACACTGTTCCCTGATATTTTAAGGCAACAATACTACCTGCAGTCACGTGTCACCTTTTTGTTCCCCGTCCATTTATGACATTAATGAGTTTAGGACTGCTTTTTTATTCTAACGTCCTAGTGAAAGAATCGCGTTAACCTGTTTCCTTCTTCTGAAAGTTGATTCATATTTGTTTCCTTTTCTATAAAGCGAAGTTTGATTGAAATATAATCGGCAGTTGGTGTAGAGCCTCATATTAGTCTAGAATTAGTAAACGTGAACAACAAAGTGAAGACGCACAGAAAGAAATTTATCAGACATCGAAAGAAACTTCGAGATTCAAAATTGTAGCCAATGTGAAAGTTTGCCAAGGAATTTACATTACAGAAAGTTTTAAAAATTATGTTAGGCCTGTGATTAAGATGTCTTGGTTTCTTAAAATGACCACAATTAAATACTCTCCATTTAGTCACTGTCGTATTTAACGCGTTTAACATTGGCATGGAAGTATATTAAGGAGATTCCTATATTGTAGACTGTAGAACAATAAATGAAACAAAAAAATCGTAATAAATTTCGGTGTTCAAACATTTTATATGGCGTATAGTTGGGGGCGATTGGGCGGTAATACAGGTGAATTATAGGTGAATGTTTTGAAAGCGAGAGACAAGTCTCTTCTAGTTTACTTACTGCCGTCATCATCAGGACGACAATGGAAACAGAAAGATACTCTGAAACGTCGGTAAACTCCTATCAGACTATACAGCGCAACATCCCAGAAGATGGTCATCTTCATACTCACCCTCCCGAGAATATGAAATCTCTCTTAAATAATGAGCATATGAACTAGATTTTATTGATACTGGATTGTATTCAGTGACGAAACGTGCTTTTATGTTTGTATTGACCGTGGAATTATATTATTAGCGAGTTAAATATCTACAAGACAGATACGTATGAAGTTATATGACTGGTTATTCATTTTGTTGTTGGTCGTTAATCATCTAGTTAACATGTTAGGTGACCACTTCTATAATTTGTTAATTAAACGGATAGTTGTACAAATTATTAGTTGGTTTAGCCAGAAAGAAATGTAGACTAGTTAGCAGGCCAGTTGCTTTAAGCATTCGGATAGCGTCACATTCATTCAAATGACGAGCCAAATTCTTGAATCGTGAATTGTCTTACATATTGAAATGTCTTAGTGTTGTATACTGTTTCGCTACTGGAATGAAGAGTTTGTATTTAGGACAGCAGCTAGGGGGCAAATTCCATCGTCCCAACCCACAACACGCTCTCTTTCACTGCATACGTGTCTTTATATAAAAACAGTGGATCGTCAGGCGCTTCTGTTGATAATTCCATTGTCTTTCAGACTGTTGGAAGTGACTGTATCTACAGATCAGAGCATATGTGTATAACGAGTTCTGTGTGTGTGTATATTTGTATAGCGAGGATAGGTCTGTCTATATTCATCGCTCTTTTCACTTGAAAGTCACTTGATATGGCCATTATCGTCAGTCACTGTCTCCCTCTTTCTTTCACCCGGCACCCTCGTGATGGTTCATAAATGGTTGTTTCATCCTGATGGCTTCCGTTTTATGTATTTGAGTTGGGTGTCTTATTGCAATTTGCCAAGCCAAAGATTAAACAATACTATCTTATTTCACGATATCGCTTTTTCCCTCTGCAAAATTAGTAAATTTAACAAGATTAGTCATATTTTGCGACGAGTAACTGTTAAATTGATGAAGAGACAAACTATTTGTGACAGGATGACAGGGATGGAATTTGAATGGAAGGAGAGGGAGAAGTAGAAGTAGAGGAGATTTGACTATTTCGAGGGTCCTCCTACACACATCCGTCGAATAGACGTATCAACCCGATCGGTGTCTGTTCAGGACGAAGAATGTCGGGATAATTCTTTTTTCACTTTTTATCGACTGTTTAAATCAGATATGTAATTTCAAATACTTTTAATCATTTTGCAGGGCAGCTTCAAAATTCGATTTTCAACTAACGTTTCTTAATATTAAGATGTATTACTTGCTCCGGAACACCAAACCATAAAAAAGTGCGGTAGTACAGAAGGTAAAGCGTGATTTTGGTTAAAATTAGCGCTGCGAGGTGCGATCGGAAAGTTTCAAGACTGTGTCAATAGAGGGCGAACCGGATGTAGTACGAGCTACTGCCGCTAGGGGGTGCGGCCTACATTCATAGTGAATCAGTGTGCCAGCCGGCATCATCGAATTAACATTTGTTTCTTAGTTACGATACTGTTTTCTACAGCTTACCGCTCCGTCCTGTACACCACGCGGAAGAATCCCAATGGATAGCTTACTGCGTTCCCAAGATCCGGTCTACAGATAGGTTTCTCTGCTGGGAACTTAACTCTGGTCGTCCAGCCCAAAGACAATCACTCAGCTACATAAATACTGAGCAGATAAAGGACTTGGAAGGTGTCAGCGTTCGTGGTAAGTTGAAGGCCAATGCTCCGTAATTGGTTAGCAGAAATCAAAGAAACAGAATAGAACTTCAGCCTGTACGCTATATCGAAAATGTTAAGGGATCCGTTTATGTGGTCATTTTACGATGCTATGTGAACAGCAAAGCTTACACAGTGTCTAATGCTTTAACGCTAACTTTATCAACACCAGCCTTGGGGGAGGGGGGTGATTGGCACATGGAAGATAGTCGCATATGCTTGAAATGAAGTCGAGATGAGTACTTCTCAGTTGCGAGACAGACATACGACCTCTGTGTTAACCGGTCGAATGTAAATATTGGTAACACTCATGGGAGTCGTGTTTGTTTCTTACTTTAATTAACAACACTATCTCAGCTACATAAGTTCACAATAATGACACATGATACGTTAAAAATGACGTAGAAGGAAATGGTTGTGATACATTTCAACGCATTTTATCACAGCA